AACTAACAATAGAAGATTATGTTTTTGCATGTAAATTGCTAGAGCAAAAATATAATTTTTTTAACCTTCATTACTTTTAAATCTTTATCTATAAATTCTAGTTTTTGATTTGTGTAATAAGGTTGTGCAGCCATTTAGTGCAACAGTTAGTTTAAGTAAGCAATTCACAATTGCTACTTGAAGCTTTTAATAAGTATACTAATTCATATGGACTAGTAATGATGGTGTAAATTTAATAGAAGAAAATCATATACTATTTTATAAAGATGAGATTCTTCTCTTTATTAAAATAGATGCTTCACTTTTATATATTCAATTAATATAAAATAATGCATCAGAAGCATCACACTATTACACATTACTTTCATACAGTAGGCTTTAACAAACTTAATACAAATTTGGTTAGATGTTTAATTATGCAAAAATAGAAAATTCATAATATCATACAAACATATATACGTACGTATATATAATTTAATATACTAATTTAATTAAACTACAAAAAACAATTACCTGTATGTAGAAGATTATAATATTATTGTTATCTATAGTTATGAACTACTTTATTTTATAGTGTTTTTGTATAAATATATTTTTTTAAATGCGATATATTTTTGGCTGATTAGCTAATTAGCCATAGCCAAATCAGCTATTTAGACCAAGATTTTTATTTGGCTGTTGCCAATTGCTAATAAATTTTGGCTGTTAAATTTTGGCTATTATTTGGACATTAGGCAAATATTAGCTAACAGTCAACTAAATAGTTTGGCCGATAAAAATTGCTAACACTAGTTATAAGTATATATAGATATTTCTAGTACTTGGTGAGATGTGTTACTACTAAGGTTTGAAGTTAACTAACTAAGGTCTGTAAGATTATCAGAATCTTAGTATTGAAATATTGGTTTGCTTATATAAGAGAAAAATATTAAAGAATAATAAGTATTAAATATTGTAATATTATTAATAACTCTATATTTAAAAGTAAATGAAAAGATTATAAATAGATTATTAGCTAATAGCTATTAAAATTATTTATAGAAAATTTTTTGTTAATGTTAAATTTAAGAGGTAAGTTTTGGTATAAGCTAAAATTAAATTGTTTAATTATTATATAATTAGGTATAGTCTTTTTATCTAAAAAATAGATATATTTTATCTATAGTATTGTTAACAAAAATAGTGATATTATCTTTGAATTTGAGTTGTTGAATTATTTGTAGAAAGGATTTTAAAGTTTGAGGAGAAAAAGGTAGTAATAAGATAGAAATCTTTTATAGCAGAGTTCAGACTCTATTGTTCTGAATTCTTTTACTAAAAATAAAGTTCTTGTTAGAGTAAGTTCTGCTTTTAAGATAAAGGCATTTCTAATATAGTAATGCAAATGGCTGGCTTAGCTTAGCTCACAGCTAATATTAATTAAGCTAAGCTAATCTATTAGCTTCAAATCCAGAGCCAAGCTGTTTATAAGCTAATCAACCTTAAGCCAAGCCAAGCTGTTACTATAAATATAAGGTATATAGTATATATAAGCTTTGAATATTAGCGTGTTTAAACCAATTAACTTAAAATTTTATTAGAACTTACTATAATGATAATAACTGACAAAGCAACTAATAAAATAAATTATCATATTTAATATCTGAAAGAACAAGTCTTAAAAAACTTGTTTAAATATTATATTATAATTATATAGTAAATTATTATGCATATAAAAAATGAGATATAAATTTTAAATAAATATTTAACTAGTCAAACTTACTATGAATTATTCTTCTTGACAATTATTTATTTTAACTATATTTAAAAAAAAAGCTTACCAATTTATCAGTTATATTGAAGTTCTTGATGAAAAAGCTAATAAATGGCAAAATTATGCAATTTGTCATGCTTATCATAATGCTGTTGGTAGGCCGACTGTCTTGCTTCAAAAGTTTTCAAGTAAAAGTGATCAAGTAAAAAATCACTTAAAAAAATGTAAGCATTTTATTAATGCTCAAGGTGGTAAAGAAGCTGTATTAAAAATATTGGGTATTGGATTAAAAGAAATAGAAAAGCAGGATACAAGATCTTATACAGGTATATATATATTAATTTAATAGCAATTTTATAATTTTTAAAAAAATTTTTTTTATAAAAAAGGGTCACTAGACAAATATGCTGTTCGGTCTTTAACAAAAAGTGATAAAAAAAAATTAAAAACTCTCTTACTTCATGCAACCGTTTCTGCAAGAATATTATTACAATAGGTTCAAAATAAAGAAGTTTGTGAATTATTTCACTTTTTAAATCCTAGCTAAACATCAAGCACTAGGTAGAAGAATCTTAAATTATGAAATAGAAGAGCTTGAAATTAATATAGAAATAAAGCTTAAAAGTGATTCTGTTAGTTCAATACTTGCTTTTAATAGTTGAACCAATGTTATTAATCAAAACATTATGGGATTAGTATTTATTACATCTGAAAGAGAGGTACTAGTTTGAAAAGGTGTAGATATTAGTAGTAAATGAGAAAGATAGAAAGAAGTTGTAAAAAAAATTGAATTGATGTTTACTGAAATCAATCAAATGAGTGTAAAGTTAATTGCAGTTGTTTGCAATAGTGCATCCTCTTATGCTGTGATAAGGTATAATAAAATTATTAACACTGTTTATATCTTATATAGTATATTGTATTTTAAAATTTTTTTTTTAAAATAAACTTATAGACGTTGTCTCTATTTAAAATATATTGATATTTCTTTTTTATTTTGTTATACTTATCAAATAAATTTATTTGTAGGTGAAATTTTTAAAGAATTTAATAAATTTCATCAAGTGTCAGTTAACACAATTAAAGTAGCAACATATTTTTATTTAGTACAGTATAAATATTTTATTGGTCAATTGAGAGACCTACAAAAAGAATTTTATAAAAAATATATCTCATTAATGATTGGTAATAATACAAGATAAAACAGTTATCTTGAATATTTTCACTCTTTACTCAAATCAAAATCTGCACTAAGAGTATATGAATTATATTTTATATTTATCTAATATCTTAATTGTATTTAATGTTTATAATCTTTTATTTATTTTATTAGATACTTGCTTCTAAATTTGACCTTTTTGAACTATTAGATAATAAGGCATTATATCTTTTTAAAGACCTTGTAAAAATTCTTTTAAATGAAACTTGGTAGCAAATACTGCAAAAACTTGTTAATATTTTAACATCTTATAGTATTACAAATAATCTTCTTCAGAAAAATAAAGCTTGTTTGCATAAAGTTTTATACAGATTTAGTTATTTTGTGAAATTTTGGAAAAATTATAAAAATCATAAACTTGGGCAATGAATATTATTTCGATTAAAATCAAGATAGAAGAATTAGGAACAACCACTTCTTTTTTTGTCTTGACTTTTTTATCCAGAATATCAAATAACAAAATTTAACTAATTTTAATCACATATATCTTAGTAAATGGCTTATTTATTATTATAAAGCTTGGTTGCTTAAATAATCCTACTCAATTTTATATGAATATGAAAATTTTCAGAAAGCTATATATCTTTTTAATAAACTATTAATTGATTATTTTGAAAAAGATGTTTTTAAATTCTGGTTTTGGGCTGCACTAATTGCAAAAGAACTTGCTTTTGTAGCATAAAGAGTATTTAGAATCTGCATAAATGCTGCTTCAATAGAACAGTTATGATCATGTATAAGTTTTATTCATACTAATAGATGGTGCCGATTACAAGTAAGTATATTGTTATTATTATTTACAAAATAATTTGATTTAATTTATAAGTTTACAATATAGTTTCTGAAGGTATTAAAAATGAGCAAGCTTTGAGCTTCAATCAACTACTAATATCAACTAGATAATACAAGTTCTAATAAATTGCATGATTCAAATGATGAGTCTGAAAATAAAACTCCTTCTAATAATGAAGTACAAATGTCTGAAGAAAATTTGAATAAAGAATCAAAAAAATTAGAAGATGAAATTAATGTGAATAAGTGTGTTATATGAATTTTAATAGGTTTATTAATGAGTGAAAAAATCTATTAAATCAAGAAAATGAAGTATGAGAGGATGAAAGTATTGATTTGAATTACAATATGGATATAGATATAGATGATTATTTATATACTTAAACGCATCCCGCAATGGATATGGAAGTGAAGTAGAAGATTTGTAAAATTTTTGTTGATGATTTGAGAGCATTTGGATCAAATATAATATAGCTTGCCTCTTAATAAAATATTTAAAAATCTTTAAATTAATTACTATTTTTTATAATATAATCTTTTAAATTAGCTTTTTAATATAGATTAGAATATCAATTATAATATAAATATAATAAAATAACTATATAAAATTAGTAAGTTAAATAGTTTTTTATAAGGAGTAACCTATACTATATTACTGGATAACAGTCTTATAAGACTGTTATCTAGTTGCATTATAATGTTATCTAGTTAGCCATTCGAGTGATGAACGATTCGCACTTGCATCGTCAGAGATATATTAGTATTCGCTCCATCATTTGAGTGACGACGAATTTGAGTTCAC